CTTGCCGACTGGCTAAAGAAAGTCAAAACAATATGGACGGGCCCGAACATAAGAATCGCAGGGGGTCAATTAGTAACGCAGACGGGCAAATGTACCGCTCGAATTAATATCGGCAGTTCAGATTTCTTCGCTACTTTCGTAATTTTATCGGAGTGCTGCAAAGACTTGATTTTGGGCATGGACTTCCTGCGTGAATACGGCGCTGTTATCAACGTTTTTGAGAGATCGGTTACATTCTGGATGGCCCCAGGTCAAGTTTGGGATGAGCCCTGTACAGACCAGCGATGTAAACCTTTTCGCGTTTTCGACGACGTGACCATCCCGCCGCGGTCGAGTGCACTCGTGGCTTTGACATGTGACACGTCGAGCAATTCTGAAAACATCGCCGAGCAAATTCCAACACTGCTATTCAGTCATGGTTTATCTATCGCAAGAGGCATTGTGAGCATAAAATGCGGACACACGCACGTCCTTGTTACGAACTTTAGTTCTGAACGCCGACATCTGACGAGGGGCAAGGCAGTCGCGTACATGGATGAGCTCACCGAGATGACAGACTGCCTAACTCTTGAGAAAGATAATTCAACTGATCTGCACCCCGTACCTCTATCTGTTGATATTGGCCCAAGTTTGCTGCCGGGGCAGAAGCAAAGTATCCTGCAGCTTATTAACCAGTTTGAAGGCTGTTTCTCTTCGACGTCCAGGGTCCATCTCAAACGCCACTGACAAAACATCGAATTGTAACAGACGACATGACCAGACCCATCAGGCAAAACCCGTACCGGGTAGCTCCGCGGGAACGTGAAGCCACGGAAAACCAGGTGCGACAGATGCTTGAAGATGATGTTATTCAGCCGTCGAAAAGCCCTTGGGCTTCGCCGGTTGTATTAGTGAAGAAAAAGGACGGCACCTTACGTTTCTGCGTGGATTACCGCAAGCTGAATCAGGTGACAAAAAAAGACGTCTACCCGCTTCCGCGTATCGACGATTCACTCGATCGACTACCGCATGCGCATTATTTCTGGTCGATGGATCTAAGGAGTCGGTATTGGCAGATAGAAGTCGATGAAAGTGACTGGGAGAAAACCGCTTTCGTGACACCTGATGGTCTTTTTGAATTTAAGGTACTTCCATTAGCTTGTGCTCAGCACCGGCAACGTATCAGCGGCTAATGGATACCGTACTATCAGGCCTCAAGTGGCAGACGTGCTTAGTGTATTTAGATGACGTCATCGTATTTTCTGCCACATTCGACGAACACGTCAGGTGATTGCACTCAGTATTTCAAACCATCCGTTCCACCGGACTAACACTTAAGCCAGCAAAATGCTACTTCGGCTTCGAAGAGCTTCTGTTCCTGGAGCATCTTGTCAGCAGTGAAGGCGTGCGGCCTGACCCTGAAAAAATAGCTGCCGTAACGAATTTTCCAGCGCTAACTGACAAAAAGGCGGTCAGACGGTTTTTAGGACTGTGTGCGTACTACTGACGCTTCATTGAGAACTTCTTGCGCATTGCCTCGCCGTTGACCCGCCTTACCAGAAAAGACGACGCATGCGTATGGAATGAAGAGCAGCAAAAATCATTTGACGAGCTGCGGCAACACCTTCAGAAGCCACCTGTCCTCGCACACTTTGATGATGACGCCCCGACAACAGTGCACACCGACGCTAGCAATGTCGGCTTAGGAGCTGTACTCGTGCAGTGTCAGGATGGCGCTGAACGAGTAATTGCTTACGCGAGCAGAACTCTTTCACGTGTGGAAGAAAATTATTCCACCACGGAAAAAGAGTGCCTTGCCGTAGTGTGGGCCGTTATGAAATTCCGCCCATATCTGTATGGTCGTCCTTTTAATGTTGTCAGCGACCATCACTCCCTGTGCTGGCTGACAAATTTAAAAGACCCTTTAGGACGGTTGGCGCACTGGAGCCTGAGGCTTCAAGAATTTGACATGACGGTGGTCTACAGATCGGGGAAGCGACATTCAGACGCCGATTGCCTTTCTCGTGCGCCATAGGAACCTGCAACGGCAGAAGATAATGATACAGCCTTTGTCCGAGTTGTAAACACGGCTACTGTCGCACAGCTGCAACAAGACGACCCGGAACTAGAACCTATAGTTCGTTTTTTGGAGGGTCACACTTCAGCTGTACCTAGACTGTCTGCGAGATGGCTTTCATCATTTTGCTTGCGCAACGACGTAATGTATAAGATTAACTTCGTGTCCCACGGAAACGATTACTTACTTGTCGTGCCAACATCTCTAAGGAGTGAAGTACTACAGGCATGCCACGACGAACCAACATCCGGCTACTTGGGTTACACGCGCACGCTGTGCAGAGTGAGGCAGAAATACTACTGGCCAAGACTGGCGGCGACCGTTCAACACTATGTTCGGACGTGCCTTGATTGCCAGCGCAGAGAAGTCCCACCCGTCAAACCAGTAGGCCACCTCCATCCTATTGACGTGCCTGTTACTCCATTCGCTCAAGTCGGTATGGATATTTTGGGCCCATTTCCCACCTCATCGACAGGTTGCAGATGGATTATAGTAGCCACCGACTACCTCACTCGTTACGCCGAAACCAAGGCTCTAGAGAGGGGCACGGCAAGGAAAGCAGCCCGATTTTTCGTGGAGAATGTGGTGCTGAGGCATGGCGCTTCGTCAGTGGTAATAACTGACAGGGAAACTGCATTCGCAGCCAAGCTACTACAGACGGTTTTAAGACTTAGTGGCACATCCCACTGGCGAACAACGGCGTATCATCCTCAAGCGAATGGTCTTACGGAGCGTCTCAACAAGACACTTGCAAAGAAGCTCTGCATGTACGTCGATGTGGAGCACAAAAACTGGGACGAGATCTTGCCGTATGTCACGTTCGCCTATAACATGACTCATCAAGAAACAAGAACAATGCCATTCCGCCTTTTTTATGGTCGTGAAGTCACCACTATGCTCGATGCTATGCTACCACACAAATACGAAAACGTCGAGACGAATGCTGATTACATCACCCAGCTTGCCGAAGAAGCTCGACAACTTGCACGCCTACGTATTAGTTGCTAGCAGGACTACGATTCAAGACTGTACAACCTTCGTCACTGACTAGTCTCATACGAGCCAGGAGAGAAAGTTTGGATATGGACTCCTATTCGGCGCCGTGGCCTCTCAGAAAAAACTCCTAAGACGGTACTTCGGGCCCTATAAAGTTCTACGACATCTCAGTGACATTAATTATGATGTTATTCCTGATACTGCACACTCATTAAGGCATTGAAGGTGTGCTCCAGAAGTTGTGCACGTTGTTCGGATGAAACCTTATTTCTCCTAATGAACTCGTACGTTCCCAGCGAGTACGAACCACTTTGACTATAAAGCATCGGGACGATGCTTTCTTGAAAGGAAGGCTAATGTCACGGCTAAAGGCCGGGCAAGAGGACGACAAAGTGATGAGCGTGGGCAGCACCCACGGTTGCTCCGAGAAAGACGACGTCGAAGCGGCTGCTCCTTTGTTCTGTCAATACAGACCTTGTTTTTCCTGGTCGCACCCGCATCCTGTATCCTGCTATTTTCACGTCGCGACAATACGATCACGGTTGATGCGAATTTCACAATGATACGAATATTAAAGTTGTTTTAGATGGACTGCATTATACAAAATACGCTGTGACTCGGTGTTATTCGAACGGTTTCCCCAGGCACCGCGGATGATACGACCGTACGATGGATGGCTGCACACCAGCGGTGCAACGCAGCTTCTTTGTGGGAAGAAAGCCCATTCACTCTTGGCCTCGAAGGGAGTGATTGCAGCAAAACTCACCGGAATTTTCTTTGCTTCAGCGCAAAGTGTTCGGAAAACCACGCCGCAAGGCCTACATGAAAAAAATAGATCTGATATTGATTTTCCCACGACGCAATAGCAGGTCACCTTGTTTGCTTCACAACTTCAGTTACACCGGCTGCTCTAGCTTTCAAACCACGTGATGTAAACAACCAGCCTCAAATTCAACATGTCAGTAAAGGCATCAGTGGCAGATCACGTTGGCGCTATCGTGTTACTCGTGGAGCACGCCAAAGCTCACGGCCTTGAGAAGGACACATTACTGAGAGCCTCGTTTGGATTACGATTGCTGAGAACACCGGAAGTAGAAGAAGGTGCAGCAGCAGCAAGTCGACATGCCCTTACATGTCTCACTTTTGCACTAGTGGCTAATTTGTCGCCACCGCTGCGTCTGCTCGTGTTGTTTCTGCTGCCATATCTTCCGAAACAATGTCTGTAAAGGTGTAAACTGTTTCTTTTCAGTGCTTTGTATGCATAACTAGAACTCGGTACGAACTTATATGCTTAGGGAACAGGCAAAATAAAATTAATTCTCGAACGGCGGCTGTGGCATGTATGAGGGCCAGAATGAGTGTGAACGTTTTCGATGGGCCCAGACATGGTGTTTTGGCCGCTCTGTCGTTTGGCGCTTGAATTCTCCAGGACTGATTTTTCTTTGCGGCGTAATTTACTGGCCGCTTAAGCGGTGGAGCGAGTGAACTTCCAATTAGTTTTGCCGCTTTTGCTCCCTTTGATGTCAAGTGTGAACGGGCTGCGCCAGCAGCATGAGTGAGGAAATCTCGGCACTTTATTAAAAGACGGTGAAGGCAGGAAAGTTCAAAAGAACATGCTGGACTTTTTCAGCAAGAAGGGGTCGCTGGTAAAGTCCTTGTTCATCTTCATTATCAGCTTTAATTTTGGTTCATATGAATTCGGGATGATACGAATATTTTGCATGCTCCCTTCAAATTCGTATCATCGAGATTCTACTGTACAATGCTGCACTTAATATCAGCAAAAGTAACAGACGAATCACATGACGCACAGCAGTGCCTTAATGCATCAGTGCCGGCAGAGTTTTTTTCTCGGGAGGGGGTGTGGTTGTGGTTGAGGGGAGACAAATGAGCCCTTCTCAGCTCCTTGCTGACACACATGCTTCAATGCCAAGAATTTTTGTCTCACCATCGAGAAACTGCTGGGCGATGGTGTCGGCCTCCTCTTCAGCAGCCCGCGTGGCCACACGCAGGTTGTTCTGTAGGGTGGACGGCTGGTAGGCCTGCATCTGGGCCTCCAGCACCTGGCTGTTCTGCTCAAACTCTTCTTTCAGTACATTCACCTCATCCACCTGCACAGCTCCATTTTTTGGAAAGTCACACTTTGGCACACAGGGCAAAGCAATGAATGCAAGCAACAAATTGCATTGTTATACAAAGTAAAGCATGCCACCTGGTAGCTATTCTCAATGTATTCACCTTGTGGACATACCCACTTTGGCGAAGTGCGTTCAGTATTAAAAAAAAAAAGGGTAAAGTTGCGGTGCTCTTGACTACATCGACACATTGAACCCACCAGCAAATTATCAGAATAAAAAGATAGAAATGGACAAAATGTACAGCAACAGGACACTTGACAAGTCTGAACTTTTGTATTGATAGATTCAGATGTTTGAGAACAATGCAGAGATTATGTAATGACCTTCCAGATGCGTTATGCGGGCCTAATACGAGGACCAACACGATTAGAGTTCATGCACTAGCCAACTGGAGGCAGCATTCGTTGCAATGAAATGAATTCCGTCCCTCTCATTTGTGTTGACAGTTGTGAAAGCTCTGTGACGTTAAAAGAACAAACATTGCAGAACAAGGTGAGAAACAGGGGGCCCACTGTTTGCTCAGCCACAGCCAGTCAGTGGAAGCGAAGCAGATAGTCCACAAGGCGTACCTTAAGAATTGCACCCACGATGTGAAAAAAAAAAAAACCACGCGGCTGCAGCGAGCGAAGTGACCTTCGTACTGTCTATCACTCCAACGCAAACTGATTGGCGATAGTTGGCTGCCTTCACAAACTTTCAATTGCACATAAAACAATTTTATCGCCCTTGGCCTTTATATGAGACCTTATGACAAAAACACTACAGATATGGCAAAAGTGTGCCTAGGGTGTCCATAAAATTGCTATTGCTATACACTTTCCAGAAATACATTTACATGTCCAGTATAACCTCATTACAATGCATCTCCTTACAACTGATATGTGCATGAACCTTTACATGTCTAGTATAATTTTGCTGCAACGAATCTGCTTACAACAGACATTTGGATACAATTTACTAATTGGCAGCATTATGCTGACCTCCCTAATTGTTCTATTGATTGAGCTTCGTTTAGAAGGGATTCTGGTGCAAAAGACATAATTGACTAAAACGTGCGGCCAGCAAGCTGGTCAGGATTCCTTTACAGAGGAATTTTCACGATGGACATCCCTAATTCAATAGCTTCTGACCTCGAACATCGCTTGCCATACATTCGCAACGGAACAGTGAGGCACGGATATTGACGTACCATTTTAAGAATGAAGACCGCTGCTCTCCGGTATCTTATGATCACTTATGCCAAGCTTTGGCAACGAGAAATCGTAGCTTGGCCTAGCGTTTTGGGGCGCTGATGTGTGAAATTGCTAGCCACTGCCACCGCTGTGCTGTTCCAAGCGGTTGCTGCGTGTCGAGCTTGGCTGGGGGTGTCTGCTGCTGAAGCGTGAAATGCCCATCTGCAATTCTCAGGAGCCACCAGGTGACACAATTCGTTGCTTTCGACGAAGCACATTACAGCTTCTTCACTTTTGCATGTAGCTAGCACAATGGTCTTGCCTCCCAAGTTCGAAGCAGGGTTAAGCCTAGCCTCGACTTTGAGCCATGAAGGAAGGAGAGCCGAGGAGAGGCCACTCATATGATCATGTTTTTTGAGAGCTTGCTGGAGTTCCGAATGTGCATTTTCATACAGCTGTTGCACTTCAAAGATGGTGCAATGTGTTGGAAGCATACAGTGAGCACTGGTCTTCACAGTTGCGAGTTTAGTTGATATCACTTGTGGTCGAAAACAGTTGTTTTCGAAGCTCGCGACCACTTCTCTGAAAATAGTTGCTGCCGCAACTTCGCTGTTTTCCTTCAGCACTGTGCTGTTGCGTGCCTCAGCGATCGAAGGCTAGAATTCTAGACAAGAATGGCAGCACCTATGGCTTTTAATGCGAGAGGCACGGGTGCGCTTTTCCAGTGTACGGCAGTCACAACTATACAACTATCGGAAAGCAGCATGTGGCCAACTGGGCTCACTGATTCAAGAATTACAGACGTGCCTTTCCTCAGTAAGACAATTTTTTTTATATATTGCATCCTGTTTACATTTTGTGCGTGATAACCTCACTTTTGACCAAGATTTTTTTCGATATGGTCGCAGTCGGCCGACCCGCGCTGCTGCGAATGGTACTAGTGCACATGCGCAACTAGCGCCTGTCGCTTCCCTTTCACTGGCGGTAGTTGCGCATGTGCGAGTCGCCAAAGAGTGACCACCATTTGGAAGGGGAGTCCTCTACTCTTTCCTACTGCTGGCTTCGCAAAACGTGACATCATGGCCTCTCCTTGCTTTTCCATGCATCGAGCAGAAAGCACGGTATTCCATGGTTCGAGCAAAAAGCTCAGTCGTGATGTGTGTAACCGTGGAGCTTTAAAGCACATCATGCTCGATCCCATTTACAAAGTGTGTCCCACAGTGGCCTTCATCACAAGGTTTAAAATGCTGATGCAGAACCTTTAACAGCAGGTCCAACGAGTAAATGCTGTAGTGTACAGGTATTTTAAAGGATTACGCCCACTAGCATGGGTCTGGCCTTAGCAAGCCAGAGGGCACGCGTTGACTGTCGCCGTGGCGAGAACACAGTACTGCTCAAGGTCGCAACACTTTATTGTCTGCGGCAACACCAAAATGCAGAACAGAGCCCGTTGCAAAAGACGCGGCGGGAAGCAAATGAGCTTATCCACGCCACGGGCGAGAAGTACTACACAGGGTGCTGGAGGCACGTCTACGTGGACAAAAGTGATTCATGGGGACACCGGGACAAAAGAGCCCGGTCACTCAAGCGAGGGAAAAAATGCGCTCATGTTGGCTTCGGAAAAATACGGGTCAGCGTTGTCTAACCACACTGGTACACCGCACCGCTCTTCGGCCTAGTGCTCGAGGGGGGGGGGGGGGGCAGAAAGTAAGCGTTCGCCGGAGGTGCAAGGCGTTGTTGGCGAAGTCCGATTGAGCCCCAAACAAAGAGAGCGACGGACCAAAAAGAAATGCGTGCTTACCCCATGTCGTCCCGAAGAAGTCTCTCACGCTCCTTACAAGTGCGCGTGAAACGTCGAGACTCCACGCACCGCGCCACAGTTGACATCCGCTACCGGGTGAGAGCGGTTAAACGTCACTACCCGCTCCCCCAGCACGACAGACCACGGAGGAGAGGAGAGTCATGTCAGGATATGAGAACGCAGAAAAAGGCGGCAAAGCCTACACAAAGGCGGCGGGCTAGCCTTGACCCACAACACCAAGCATACAGACTGTTTGAGACGTGCGTGGTGCGTGTGCGATATGGTCGCAACAAGTGCGGCTTGCTATTGTAAACTAAAGTGTAATTGTATTCTAAATTATTGTCGACCCATGAACACAGAACGAGTGCGAGAACCTCACTGAAAGTAGCATAATTTTCAACAGCCGTGACCTCGTGGTGCGCAAGCAGCAGACGACGCTACGTGCCCTGCGGCTGTGTTATAGTGGTGCTAAAATTTATTTTTGAAAAATGCAGTTTTTTTTTCAATAATTTTTGCCACTTCAGCAGAGGCAAACAAACTCTTTACAGCCCTTTTACGTTGTTTTCAGTAAAGATATTTTGATTTGATTGATAGATATGTAGGGTTTAACATCCCAAAACCACCGCATGATTATGCGAGATGTCGTAGAGGAGGGCTCCGGAAATTTCGACCACCTGGAATTCGTTAACGTGCAAGACATTTTGAAATCTGATAGAAGAAGAGCTACAGAAACTGAAAATCTGATTTTCAAAAACTCGGTTCTTTTATGCCCACATCGAGAATGAATCGGTAAATAATTGTCTCTCACTATAACAGACTCATTCAGTGTTTCCTTAAAAATCTGTTGTAACGGTACTTAGATTTTAAATACTTTTTTTTACAACAGACCGATATCCCCTTTACCATGGAAGTCTGTTGTAATGAGGTTGTACTATTAGTAAAGCATACGTGAGACAGAAATGGCGCACAAAACATAAGAACACAAAGCCAACTGCAAGTAGCTTGTCGAGCTAGAAAGAAAATGAACAGACTTCAATTATCAAATCAAGGCAGTATTTTATGGGATGAGAAGTAACTGGTGAGAACCTAACATGTGTAGAACTCAAAACAAATTAAAAAAAAAGAAAATTTCCCGAGGTTTGTAAGTGCATAAAAACCTAGAAGACAGCTGGAAAAGAGCATAAAATTTGACAGAATGGTTTGGAATGTCATAACTTTCTCAATAAAATTATGCTATGATGTAATACTGCTTGCTTCTTATCAGTTCTACCTCAGAATATTTGAGCCACACTAGTAAATGAAAAATTGTGCAATGTCTCGACAGAGACATTGCCCAAGAAAGGGCCCAAGAAAGGGCGGAACATCACGGTGTCCCAGCCCCGACCTGGACGCGGCCAGCGTCTTCCGCGGATCCCCGATAGGGGTTCCCGCGAAAGCTCCTCAGGATTACATAAAGTTCATTGTCTGTCTGTCTCGACAGAGATATTCGATTCTCTCTTCGTGTCTATTATTTTCACAGTGACTACATTAAAAGGGACACTGAAGTGAAACATAATATAATTAATGGCATTTAACATCACAAAACCACGATATTATTAGGAGAGAAAATGTGCAGTGGAGGGCTCCGAAAATTTCAAATAGCTGGCATGGTTTTAACATGCACTTAAATAAGTACACGAGCCTAGAGCATTTTCAGCTTCATGAAAAATAAGGCCGCCACCGCTGGGATTCAATCTCACGACCTGTGGCTCAACAGTCGAGTGCCATAACCACGAGACTATTGGGCAGGTTCCGAAGTGAATATATTATTTTAGAGGTATCAATTATCCTTGGAAACCTCTACTGTCGTTAATTTCACCATAAGAGGTTTAGTAATAAACACAATGAAGGTGAAAATTGCATTCTGAATTTCGCACTGGAATCATTGTATGTGATATCACGAATTTTCCGTGTAATTTTTCCTATTTTGGTGATGGTGACCCAACAAAATTTCCTGAAACTTAGGGTGCTGCATCTCTGATTCCCTCAGGACAATAAACTTTGTGGTGACCTTGCTACACACCATAACGAAAGATCACCGCGGCTTCAGACTTAGCGAGCCACAAGGCTGCGTTACTGTCGCCTGCTCACAAGTAGCGTACTGCTCCGTGCGCGCTGAAGTAGCAAAGCATCTAGCGTGACGTGGCAAACAGACAGTGTTTAAGACTTAGCAGCAACACACAAACACTTTATTGCCTTTGGCGACACCCCAAACACAGTATAACATCCGCTCACAGGAAGCGGAGAGCGTAGGTTCTTGCTTGCGGACGTTCAGCAGAAAAAGGAGAGGTCGCAGCTGGCAATGCCGGTCGGAAAAGGGGTTCCTTGCGGCAATGCTGTGCACTCTCACTACGTCCACTGGGCCTGGCGCAAGAGTTAAGCCTTCAGCAAGTGCGGCTTGGTGAAGTACGACCACGTCAAGCACTAGGCATCGCTGCTTGGCTTATCGTACGGAACCGGAGCTAGCACAAATGTAAACACGCCCGCTGAGGATAGTCCGGCGATTCCCGGACAGGCTGCAGTCCGGCGATTTCTAAAGGAGAGGTGGGCGAAGGAAAACACGGGCTTACTGAGCGCCGGTCAAGGAGGGAGAGAGCGTTCCCGACGCACACGTGATTCGCCGACTTTCACGGCCCGAGATCACGTGCTGCGCTCGCACGTGGAACCATCTATCGTCACACGCTGTCACAAGAGCACGGGAGAAGGAAAGGAAGCGGCAGAACAGTAAAAATGCCCGCAAAATTTTTATAGGCATTGAACAAAGTTAGGTCCCAGAAGATGCCTTCAAAATCTATGATGTCACGCTAACTGATGTGGATACTTCAACGTACGGTAGCGTCGCCACTTGTATTTTTCGTTTGTGCATCTTCTTGCTTAGGAAGCGTCCTCTTGTGAAAAGCATGGCGATCTTGGTACCGTGAAGAAGTAATTTACTAATATGATACAAATTTGTTTTACTCTGTGGTGTCCCTTCAAAAAAAGAAAGCACGCACACTAGAGAGACATCAATATATTGTAGCTCACCTTCTGTAAAAGCAGATGCTTGCGCTGCTCTGTGGTAGGCTTGAGCTCCAGCGTTTTTCCTGGGTAAGAAACAGGCAGCTTGAAAAGTCATCTTCAAGTACACTGAGCTCAGGTTAAATAGAACTTAACAGCGCAAAAACTACCGACAAGTAACACAAAAGACAAGGATGAGCGCAGACTTTCAACTAAATTTATTACTAGCACGACGCACATATATATGTTACAAAACAATACGATAAGATCACTTGCTTACAAAACAAAAAAAGAAAAAAACACAAAACCAAAAGTCAAAAGAGCCAATAATGCATTACCAAAAAGCCAATAATGCATTACCAACTAGCCCAATCCCACACTTTACTTAAATGGAACCCCAGGTGACTATGAAAATCTGTTCTGTTTCTGAGCAGTTCCATTTACTGAGAAAAAGAAGTGGAAGGGTACACGATAAAGCTTATCATCCATTAGTGAAACATGTTCTGCAGATGTACTGTTTTCCAAAACGTGGCTTTCTTTCACAATAAATTACATTGAAATAATGATGCTAACAATAATTCTTTCCAACAACAGTGTCGATGGAGGGGATGAAAAGAAAAGCAACTAGCCGCTTGACTAATGAAAAATAGTAGATTGGGGTAAATATTATGTCGCTCGATCATACTGTTTATCCAGGCAGTGGTGCGTTAATAGACCCTTTTTGTAAAAAGGCGCCTCAAGAGCCTTTTATGCGAGCTACTTTAAGCCACCATGTTTACAGTGTCGCAGCAGACAACACTGTCTGCGACTAGGGTGGCTACTTACAGCGACTGTGTGATGTTTCGCTAACGTGGCTCGTCCTTTGTGAATTGTGCCAAACATGTGTTCCTAAATATTATTGAAGGGTGCTGTGTTCCATTGTATCACTAATGAGGCTACTGCGGTGAGAATGGAAAGGTACGTGCGACAGTATGATGTAAACAAACACACATATCATGTATCTACACACAATGCAAAAGTCAAAGTCATTATTGTCGTAGAAGTGCTAAGCCTTGTCGCCACGATGGGTGATGCAGTGTCGACCATAATAAGCACGTTGCAGTGCCTCCCGTACTCACATAATAAACGCATCCCCAACTTCATTTAGTCAAAGAAATTTTTATTTTTTTTCCCCGCACTATAAATGCACCCCCTACATTCATCCGCTGTAGTCTCGCTAACCGACACTTTGCGCCTCCTCACCCATTGGATCTCTTCCGTTCTTTATTATTTTGCGACTCCCCTCAGCTACCCACTCGCTCCAAACGTAGAAGCCAATGCTTGCAGTGCAAGTACCTTCATAAGATTTTGTTACATCAGACATACTATAAGCGCACAAAAGCGAGACAGGCAAAAGCTAACCTCACACAGAAGCTGACGCGAAAAAATGCGCTGCTGCAATGGCAAAACCAGAGCATTGCAATGTTGAGCAATATTATAGAAAAGATGAACGGGGACAATGAAGCTATAAGCAGCTTTAGTTTTGAAGAAAGGTTACAAAGCCTACCAAAAAAGCAGCAAGTGCAGGTACGCTATTGCTTTGAAGGGTTGAAGAGGCGAAAAACAATGGGGTGAAATTTCGGCAAAAGTGGATCCTTCAGTGGATTGGGATGCATATAAAAATCTCGCATCTTTTGTGGGGGTGCTGACACCCCCCCTGTAAAGTTGTCTGCGCCACGTGGCGCACGTGTCTCGCCCCAAGGCTTTATTTCGGTGGTGACCACCGCCGGGCGATAGATGGCGTTGTGTTCGCTTTGAGTACCACTGTTGGTAGAGTGGTAGCGCCGGCGGTGGCCCCTGGCGGAAGGCGGGCCTTGGTGGTGGGCGACAGTTGAGCGAGTCTCTTCTCCTGCGCGTGCCGGCTGCCGCGAACGGCTGTCTGTCGCGTGGGCCCCCGGTGCTCGGCACCGCGGGCTTCGCGCCGGGGTCCCACGTGGAAGGTCAGGCGTTGGCGACGCCGCCTTGGGTATGTGCTAGTGTGTTGGGTGTTAGTGTGTGTTTATCATGTTATTGTGTGTTTAGTGTTTCACTGTGTTATGTTGTTTGTATGGTAGCATGTTAGTTGAAATTGTTGTATCATTCGGCGGACGATATCGTCGTCTAAATTAGTTAATAAATCTATGTATGTTGTGTGCTTTGGTACCGATCGTGTTCACTGTGTCCGTCCCTCCAAGAGCGTGGCGTGGCGGTGCGCGCGTTCGCCTCGCCGGGACCCCACACTGGCGCCCAACGTGGGGCTCTTGGAGTATCGGACGACAGTTTTTGCGGTTCGGTACAGGGATTTTGTTAGAGCCGGAGTAGAGTAGGCCTAGGGGGGACTTCTTTGCTAGCGTCGGTGGTGTGCTTTGTTGAGAAGCGAGGGGATTGGTTTTGTAACGTGTTTCAGTTTGTCGGCAGGTTGACTTTCTTTTTTTTTTTGCTCGCAAGTGTTCTTATTTTTTGTTGTTAGTTTTCAAAATCGTTGTTGAATTAGGACGAGAGCCATGCGGTCCGCATCCTGGGGTGAGCAAGGCCTAGAGCACGTGGTTTGTAGGCCAGGCCCGAAGCGAGTGAGTACGGAAGCCTCGTGGGTGGTCCAATTTTCTGTAAATAGCTTCTTCTATCTCTTTGGGCTCAGGGAGCCGGGCGTCGTTGCTGACTTGTATTGCGGCTCGACGCCGGGGCGTCGTGACACCGCCCGGGGCGGTGGACGCCGATCGCTCGGTAAGCTGCTGTGTGCGGCGAGCGATAGGGCCACCTCACAGAGTGGACGTCTCCTCGCGGCTGCCTCTCCTGCGCCTAGGCTGGGTGGATGCCGGTTGTTGCCGAGCGACTCATTAGGCCTAAGGCTCTGCGCAGCCGCCTGTCGCACGTGGCACAACTAGGTGGATCGTAGCGTTGAGGTGTTGCGCTCTGCTTCCCTCACTTTTTTTTTCTTGTGAGCACGAGTTAGGAAAAGTGATTTTTGTTTTTATTTTCATGGGCGTCTCGGCCGCCACCGATGTATTAGCTAGCAGTACTGACCACCGTACCACGTGGCCGAAAAGCCTGAAGCTCCCTCCCCTGGGCCGCGCTCCTTTGTTTCTTTCGAGTTTTGTTTTTTGTCGATGTATTCAGCGGGAGGGCTGTCATCCACGGCCGGCTGTCATCCACGGCCGGCTGTCATCCACGGCCGGTTCCTGAGCGAATCAACAGCTAAAGGACTCCGCGTTACTCTTACCAGCACATTTTCTATCTTGCACTATGTCATGAAAACCTTGGACTACAATACATGACGTCTCGCCTCTGCCTTGACTCGCTTGAAAATCTTTTCGGTATCCTGAGGCAAATGTCTGGCTCGAATGACCACCCTACGCCGACACAGTTTTTGGTCTCTGTATTTGCCTTAGTTTTTACAGCTTGGCATGGTCACCCTCTAGGGGAAATATAGCGTCTGGAGTTCTGAGCAACCTTTTATGTTATGCCGGGTGCCCACAATAATTCAATGAAGCTACAAAATAAGCTGTATGAGCTGCTAGATGTGGGGCATCTCAATGAGGTTCATGAAATGATTATTGCTTGTGAAGCCCTCCCTAACCACACAGTTGGATGCAAAAGTGACTCCCGGGTCATGTCAGTGGCTATGTGGCCCGGAAGATGTCGTAAAAGACGAAGTGCAATGAATGAAGCAGGCTTCACTCAGAAAATTCCAGCTTGCTTCCGGCAGAATCATGCCTCACACGTTATATTGATTGATTGATTTGTGGGGTTTAACGTCCCAAAACCACCATTTGATTATGAGAGACGCCGTAGTGGAGGGCTCCGGGAATTTTGACCACCTGGGGTTCTTTAACGTGCACCCAAATCTGAGTACACGGGCCTACAACATTTCCGCCTCCATTCGGAAATGCAGCCGCCGCAGCCGGGAATCGAACCCGCGACCTGCGGGTCAGCAGCCGAGTACCTTAGCCACTAGACCACCGCGGCGGGGCCCTCACATGTTATATAGACAGAGGTGGCCTCCTGCACCTGTTTGATTTCTTAACAGACCTGGTAAAAGCTATGGAAGATGCATTCATCTATTGCTTCAGTTTCAACAAGTTAAAAAGGGATAGCATAACGGACTTTATCTCTTGCCTGTCTGTGAAAGAAGGTAAATAAGGTCGGCTGTGAACACCACAAACTGGAAGTCACAAATCAGATCATTAGATTTTTTACATTGACCAGAATGGATTTTCTCGTCGCTGAAGGAAATGCGTCCAACCAAAAAAAAAAGGCAGAAAGAAAAGATGAAGTTTTTGAAGTTGAAATGTAAGAGTTAACCATCATTACATCAACACAGCAAACAAGGTTTTATTTTATGTTATTGTGCATTACTCACATTGTGTTTTCTCTTGTAATTTTAGTATTATCTTGTTCACATTGTTACAAATCTCCCATTAACAATTTTGTTATCGCTGTCTGGCTGTGTTTCACATATGCAGAAATCTATTTTTTTGTGAACTGGTTTGTGGCTGTATCTATGTTTGCCAATCAAATCTCAATTTATGTGTATATGTATGCCCCACAAGGGCATTGTATATTTACTGCTCTTTTCAGTTGCCTTATTCACTTGGTTTAGTTCAGTTTTGTATAACTTGCAGTTCTCTCCAACTTTAAGGGGGGGACACCCCACTTAAAATTTTTTTATTTATGAGTGAATTTTGATCAAACTTCTATCCTTTATGTATTTGTAATGCTTATTTTAAACATGCAATTACTTTTTCTGTGCAACACGCACTTTTCAAAGTATTGAGAAATTCATGTTTTTTACATTGACTAATTTGAAGGTAACTTTTTTCTTGAATGCTGGTAGTGATAAAAGACAGTGGCATATCAAAATGACATTGTATGGTCAGAGCTTGCAGTGCTATAAGAATGAATGCTTTAGACTGATCTGAACCAGTTACAGCATGTCAAACTTTTGTGAGCAAAAGGTTTTAGTAACATCTCTCAAAGTATTCGTTCAAATTTCATGCCTATTGCACTCGGCATTTGTCTCCTATTCTAACGAGAATCACCGCGATAGGATAATTACCACCAGAGATATCCTCACAACAAAACTACACCATGATAAAAAATGCAGTTTTGAGGAAACGAGCAAAAATGTATCAAGACTAGTTAGAAACTCGCTCACACGGTCCTCATCCCCAAATCGGGAAAGGCGCCGAGCCTAGATTACCCACGCCCTATATCGTCGTGCGTGGGCAAGGTGGCTGAGCACGTCGTCCTCAACAGGGCTGCTCGATACCCCGAAGATAACGACTGCCTCCCGCACCACATGGTTGGCTTTCGACCAGGATTATGCACTCAAGACTCCATTACTGCTAAAGCACCAAATTCTAGATGGCAGAAACACTTGGGACACTCGTGATTACTCGGTCTCGATTTAAAAAGGCATTCGATACCATATTGAAAGCGATCGCAGACCTCGGCCTAGGGAATTGATTCTACTATTTCATCCACTCTTTTCTCACTCGACGGAGAGCCGTCCTCCTCGTGGGAGATCTAGTGTCGAAATAAGTGAAGCTCGGACAGCGGGGCACTCCTCACGTATCCGTCCTCTCGCTGACGCTCTTCAACCTTGTGATAATCGGGCTTTCCGAACAACTATAGAAAATCGATGGACTAAACCACACTACCTATGCGAACGATGTAACCATATGGTGCTCCGCAAGGTCAGATGGCTTCATTAAGTCCGCCTTGCAAGAGGCCATTGAAACCACCGAGTCTTACCTCGAACACATCGATCTCAGGTGCTCACTCGCAAAGTCGGAGCTGTTAATATATTTTCCCGAACACCGGGATGCCAAGACCAAAGGGTGGAAACCTTTGGCGGAATGCAATATTACCCTCCACACTAGAGATGGTTATAGTGTCCCCACGGTAGACGCCATAGAGTTTCTCACAAATACCTAGAGGGAACTGTGCCACTGTCTATGCGAATTTCTTAAAGGGCGATGCTAGAGCGCTGGGAATGATGGCATATGTCTCTGTGAGAGTTGTGTTGGATGTAGTTGAGCGAGGCTTCGGCTCAAAAGTGAATACGGCTGCGTAAATAAAGCTTCTCTAAAACATAACGTTTATGAGGGGATCTCATTCACAAGTATTATATTCTAAAATAAAAGTCCACTTACCATGACGGCACAACCAAATCACGAAGGAAAGAAGACAACATAAACGTATCGGAAAGAACGGTCGCTTTGTCGTCTGCCTGCCAAGTTTAGCGGCCATTGGTTACTTCTTACACTTCGTAAAATTGTACATTAACATAGGAGGTTATAGTGTTAAATACAACACGTTTCTGTGCAATAATAAAAATAGATAGCTTATTATGTGCTCGTTTAGTAAGAAATCAATCATTTTAACGTGAAGCTAAACGCGTCTTCGACGTATGCAAATTCAAGTCAAGTTCGAAGGTCACGTATCTCGTCATTCCCTTGCATCCAGCAGCTCACTAGCGCCAGAATTCCCTCTAGGTATGATTGTGAGAAACTCTATGGTAGACGCCATCAGGGTCCTTGGCATGTTCATCGAGTCCCACGGAACCAACACCCAAACAGTACAGAAGCTTAGGACTATGACTGAGAATGCCATACGACATGTACGTAGAGTAGCCAACTGGCACCATGGCCTCAAAGAAAACAATTTGCTCCGTTTTGTACACGCGTTTGTTTTGTGCCACTTTACCTATGTTGCCGCTATACACAAATGTTTACGTGCTGAGCGCGATCAACTCGGTGCCCTTATTGGCAAGGTGGTCAAACGAGCCCTCGGCCTCCCTATCATTATATCAACGCACAAATTCCTCGAGCTTGGCATACATAACATGCAAGAAGAGATCCACGAGGCTCAAGAACATGTGCCATCGACCCGATTCAGGACTACCAAGGCGGGCTGCCATATTCTGCGTGAGCTCGGCTTCTCCTTGACGGCCAGGGATCTCACAGAGTTGACTCTAAATCCCCGTCAAATCCACGATCACTCCCGTTCATTCACGATCACTCCCGTTCAATCACGATCACTCCCGTTCCGCTAAATGTACACCCTGAACACAACAGAGGCAGGCACCTAGCGTGGGCGACCGCCATTCCCAAGCGCATAAACACGAAAGCGGACAACGTCTCCTTCATGGACGCCGCTGCCTATCACAACAACCGATCCTTCGCCGTGGTTGCGGTATCATCCGCGCAGCAGATTCTTAACTCTTCCACAACCCTCGCCCGAGACCCCGAAGTAGCTATAGCTATAGGTATGCTCAATAGCAAACGGGAACTCATCTACAGCGACTCCAGACTGGCCATCAAAGCCTTCGAACGTGGCGTCACCTTCGACCAGGCATTATGTATCCTGTGCAGCGCGGACCCATGTGTCCTGAAGCACCACACTGTCATCTGGTTCCCTGCCCATCCTGGTCAGGTGCCGGTTGCCCCATCCAACCTCAGCAAGATCGCCCATGATGCAGCGCATGCAATCACCGACTGCGTCGCCACAGGGCAACCTATCTCGCTGAGTTAGAGACCAATCAGGATGCACCCATTACGTACAATGACATAACAAAGCACTTTTAACTTGAACGCCGCATTTTGCCACACCCACATCCGGAACCTAACAGACTGCAGGCGCTAACCCTACGCCTATCACAGACCCACATGTACCCAAACCTTTCCAAGCTTGACGTTTATTATCCTGATGCATACCCCAGCGACACATGCCTCTCGTGTGGACACACGGCGACACTCGCACATATGCTCTGGGAGTGTAGAAACATTCCTCCCAACTCTACCTCAATCAAGAGGGAGAGATCCTGCAGGAGCTCACTTCTCGCTAACCAGCTCTAAGCCATTCAGCAGGCCCACGAAGTGGCCGCCACGTACTCCCTGTCGGTCCCTACGTGGGAGACATCCGCTACGTGCTAAGCGCTTCATGCAGGACTAAAATAAAGTTTTTTCATTCCATTTCATTAGAAATAATTATGAAAATCTTTTGAACACTACAGTGATCGAGGATAATATATGGTGGTAGTGACACCTTCCCCAAGGTAGCGACACCTTTTCCTTTCCTCCTCGCTTATTTGCCTGAAGCGCCCTCTAGATGGTTCAAAACTTTCATAAAAAAAAAAGGGTTTTGCTTCAGCTGCTATGGTGAATAGATGTAAATGAAACAAAATGGAAGGGAATGAGTCATAGAATAAACAGTTACCTATTTGAATATAAATGATACAACACAAAAGCAAGCCGAATGTATGTTACTCAATTGGCAATGTTGTGCAGCTCTATACTTCACACCACCAGGCATGACATCTTGCATCGTACATCATAGTTTGTCCAGTTCTCCAAATTTGTTTTTGCTCGTGGTTATGCTGTGACACAGTGAACGCACTTCTTGCTGGATCCTGTGAGTGACAACAGGGCGTGATGTGATGAGTGATTGCAGCCGGCTTGTGCACATGCAAGAAAAAACTATGGCCAGACTGGTAGGAACGCTGGACTAGCAGAACTGCGATGACAGTTTTCTTTTTCTGGAAAAATACGCTCATTTTGACAATTGACAGGTAATTCTGGTGCAGAGCGCGGAACTTCACAAAAAGTAAGAATTCTGCCAGTCAGGTGTCCCGAAGCAGCCCTTTGCAACTACTTTATGCCGTGTTCCAGGGTAACGGGCTCGAACTGGTCAAGCATGAAATGTTCCTGAAAATGCATTCACGAAACCCGCCCAGCTGTAGTGTACAGCTGCAGGGTGTAAATATTTGTGTTATGTATTCACACAAATATTTGTAACAGCGGGCCTGAACTAGATGTGTGTTAGACAAGCTCCTGGTCAACGTACATCGATGGCATTGCACAAAAGCCTACGGGCGAAATGTTTTCTGTTATTTTACTGCAACCCCGCATTAGTGAAAAACTCAAATGTTGCACTGAACTTGCATTGCGAAGCAATCGTCCCTGATTTTGTGCCAACTGAAACGCTCCTGCTCTGCAGTTGATGTCTTGGCTACGATTTAATCATGGCAAAAATTCAGCTGAAAGCCTATGCGCATGCGTTCTCGTTTTGAACTTATAATAAATAATATCAGCACCCATTTACAAAATCACAAGCAAGGAATGCACCAATTACAGACGCGGATGGCAAAGAAAAGGAGGCGAGAGAGTGAGAAGAATGGCATAGAGAACAATGAGTGACGTTGACATAGAGAAAAATACGCCATTAGTTTACAAAATGCAGCACTGTTCTGTCCACTGCTGGTGCTGCCTTTTCTGCACTCTTTAGAATGAATGCTCTGAGCTGGACTGCAAACAGCCAGAATGCACGGCATTGAACAACAACAGCCAAAACTACTTAGCTGTTCTGATATCAAATGTTATGAATGCTGTCTTCCAAGACAGCAATATAAATAAAAATTTTGTCTACTCACGCGCCAAATCCTCATTCTGGGTCACCATGAGGTGTCTGATTTCCTCAGAGCGCAATACTTCGGGTAGCTGGTCAACAAACTCCTGCAGCTTGCCATCTTCTTTGAGAAGTTCTTCTAGTTGGGAGTTACTGTGCAAGGACAGAAGGGCATCACAAGTGAGTGGCAGATGTGACTTTCTAGTGCCACAATGGCCCTGCAAGTCAATCCAAAGACAAACTAGGCAATAATAGTTATGACTGCACTGTATCGAAAAGGAAGATTTTGGTTACAGTGGTTTTTCTTTTGCCTAAAAGATCTGTGCACAGTTTAGAGAATGACATAATGATGAACCCAATTAGTTCCAATTATCATACCCACATCAATGAGCACTCCCTGGCGGTAAATTGGACATCTACCAGTCTCTAACTCAATACATAAGTATGGCAATAATCAGGTGGTGTGTTATAGGTGGTGGTATAGGCCAAATTTGTTGATATCAACATCTTGTAGATTATTGGAGCACATCATCCACAAATATATCGTAAAGTACTTGTCTGAACACAATATTCCCTTGCAAGCTCACTATGGCTTCCGTTCTGGCTTTTTGAACACAATTACCAGAGTTCTGCTCTGATATCACATCCACACTTAATGTTAGAAGACAGCTTGATGACATTTTCATTGACTACAGTAAAGCTTTCGACCCGGTGATTCAAAATAAACTTCACATTAAACTCGGGGCAATAATCATGACACCAAACCTACAGCTTGGATAGAAACAGTTTGTTCCAATGAGCAACTTTTTTGAAAATCCCCCTCCAAATGTCAATTGGTTTAACGTAAAAATATTTCACTACTAAGAATTTCAGAATACATAATATTTCACAATAACATATCGAATTTTAATCCTCTTGTATCTGCACAACACTTTAAACTAACGAATAGCAATTTTAAAAAGTTACTCGCACGTGTAAAAATAATACCCAGCTCCGTACCCGCCACTATCATCATTAACAGAACACTAGCGTATTCAATCTGCCTGTTTGTCCGACCCTATGGCCATCGTCATTGCCTGACATTTGTTTTATTTGTTTTTCTTTTTTGCATAAGGCTTCCCCCTTTACCGTTGCTTTTGTCGGGCAGCTTTACCCGTGTGCTTGTTACATTCTAGCCTTTTGGTTGGTAGCTGAACATGCAAGATGAGCTGCGCAAGCAATACGAAAGGAATGCTACAACAGTGAAAAATGTGATACGAGTGACCTGTGGGATGAAGTTGCCGATCATTACACATGCATGCATCAATAACGCTCGAACACCACGCACAGTGTGACAACAAAGCATGTCTCACACGTTTAACACAGAAAGACGTTCCCATTGAATGGAGTGACGAATGTGAGAGAGTACTGTGACTTGGTGCACAGAATTTCTTCTGACCCTGTCCTACGCCTGCCAGACTTCATTTTACCCTTTGAATTGAACACTGACACCTCACATTATGGGACTGGTGCAGTGTTGTATCAAAAATGTATTGAAGCATCCAGCCAGGAAAAGCGACACGTAGCAAGTTACTACAGTTACATATTCAAGCCATCTGAAACTAACTACACTACTACAGAAAAGGAAGTCCTGGCCGTTCTGAAGGCCATTGAGTACTTCCGTACGTACCTGGAAGGTACGAAGTTCACTTTGTTCACCCATCACCAGGCCCTCACTCATCTCTTTAATATGACCCAAACTAAAAGACGTATTGCTAGATGGGTGAATTACTTGCAGCAATTCGACTTTACCGTCTCGCATCGACCAGGACCGTTTTTAACCGATGCAGACGCTCTATTAAAGTTGATGGTATGAAGCAACACAGAAGAATCCAAAGAAATCAATGAAGTGAAGCTGTAGGAAGGATCCGAACAGCTGGTTTTCAGTGAAGGTCGGTATCAAGTCCAACCAACACTAGTTTCCAGAGGCCTTTATTTGTACCGGATAGCCCAGAATCTGAACGACACGACAGATTTTGGCACACCGACAACAAATTGGTCAAGAGATTTACATGGCCTCACATGAAGAAAGACGTCAATCAGCATGTTCGTTCCTGCCATGTGTGTCAAGTACACAAAGTCAAGTATCAACAGCCTACGGATGCTATGATACTACCTTGCCACTCGAATGTGCCTTCCGAAGTAGTTCACCTGGATTTCGCTGAACTAAATGAGAAACGGGAAGAAGTTAAGAAAATGCAAGCTTTTCTTCTGGCCACAGATGAATGCGGAATAGTCACGGTGCGAGCAGGAAAAGAAGATGCAAATAGCGTCATAACCCTCCTCTCAAGAGACATGTTTAAGACTACGCGGTCAATCGTATGCGATAACCGCCCTGCATTCAAGAGCGAAAAGCTAGCAAGATGGGCTCGGGATCACAATATATTGTTCAAGTTCTGTGCTCCATACCATCCCGTAGCGAATGGGCTGGCAGAACGTGCCATACGGGACATGAAACACTGCATCAAGATGTACGATAGTTTTCCTGGTGGATGGAAATGTTCTTTGGAAGCCGCCGTGAAACATCATGATCGATCCTATACAAGTGGCTTGGGGTGCAGTCCACAGCACGCTTCTTCAGGAGAAACCCCTATTCTGCAGGCAGACTGTGAGTTGAAACTCTTGGAAAACATCAAGATCGTCGAGGAAAGGCAAGAAAAATCACAGGAGGAGAGATACCGAAAATGAACGAGAAAGAATTTCAACAAAAGGCATCGAGCAGACATGCCAGACATTCAAGTCACCGACCTCGTACTAAAGTGGAAAGAAATAAGAGACAGTGCCAAATTTTACGGTCCTTACTCTGTGACTAAGACAGCCACCCAGAATGAAATTTTGAAGACTGTCTGGTACACTGGTGAACGTGGATCAGTTGAATGTGCTTCAATTGGAAATGTCTTGAAATATTACCCCAGGATGGGTAATCAAAAGAAACCGGGAAGGGTGAAGTGGTATGAGCGGTGAGACAGGAGAAGGAGAAGCACGAGATCCGGGGCAGGAAAGAAGAGATGGATGAAGGGAGGAATAAAGCAGATTAAGATGGACGCCAGTTCTATACTGAGGCTATAATTCTGTTCCGTTCTTTTAAGTAGGAACGCTACATTTTTATTAGGACCAGAAGCTTGAAAGTAAAGACACATTTAGATATCTAAATGGCATGCTCACATTAAGCACATAACCAACAAGGTGCTAAGTTAACTGGGTCATCTTGAGAGATACCTTAGAGATGCGTAAAAAAGAATGTGAACTGGCGGCGTACAGATCACTTATAAGCATGGGTTGGAAAACTTCCTGATGAGTCGACTTACTTGGACTCACCCATACTCAGATCGAGACGTGATTTCCAGTCAGTATGAATTTTAGGAACTAATATTTCTATGAGCTTGAGTGTAAATAAGTCCTGTTGAAAAAAATTTTCCTGAGTGTGAGTCCGAGTGAGTTCCTGTCAGGAAAATTTTGGTGTATGAGTCTGAGTGAGTCCAAAGAGCAAGATATTTCTTGAGCAAGCCTGATTTAGTTCTACATTATTTTTTGTCCTGACCTATGGTCCTATCCACTCATCATCAGCATGGCTTTACTTGGATTCACATTTATACGCACATCCACTCACACGCATTTCAAAGCAGTGTTATTCATATTCATAGACCATGTCAATATTTGTTCATCACAGGTGTGTATTATGTGGGGGGGGGGGGGGGGGGCAATGGGTGGCTTGACCCCCGCCCCCACCAACTCTTCCAGGAAAGTTATGCATATCTTATGTTGTCACCTGTTTCAAAAGAAAAAAACGACCCAACTGGTTTGTGAGCTATCACAACCTTTTTAAAAGGTACTATATATCTAAAGACACCAAGCAGGGCACCAATCATATGAGATATAAGGGTTAAAGACTATTAACACTATGGTCGAGAAGCTAATTATACGCTAACAGACTCATGAGTTGACACACTCAGACTCCGATCAAGCTACACGTCTGAGCGAGTCCAGCTCGGGAAAATTTTGGCGAGTCAGAGTGCAAGTGAGCTCTCAGTTTAAAATATATTTCACGAGTTTTGCTGACCTATGCTCATAAAGCTGCTACGTGAGTACACATCCGTTGTGTGGTCACCACATCAATATGCTAAAGTCCATTAAGAAAAAAGGCCATCAGATTCATATGTAATAGTATGATCACCATTGTTCACTAGCACTGCATGCTGACAAGCTGCAGCTAAGACATTTGGCCCACAGACATGCTTGTGACCGTCTTGTCCTGCTGCATAAAATTCCTCACGGAAAAACAATTATCAATGCACATATTGCTTTTGCTAACCCTTCATCTCGAGTCACCATAAGTGGTCATCACCTCAACATAGTTGCTTTGAAATCATCCATTGATTGCTTTATGCTTTCCTTTTTTGTCATAATATTGACATTTGAAATGGTCTTCATGGCCCCTTGTGCGAGTTGTCCAATGACGAATTTGTCGAAAAATTGCCAAACTTCATTCACCGATGAATCGTGTATGCTTTCCTGACTTATTTCTTTACTTTCCTTTCCTTTTTCAATGGATAAACTCTTCTTCATATTGTATTTTTAGTGTATGTATATACTCACTCCAGCAATTACTTGCTAGCAAGATGGGACTATATGTAGATGAGTAAATATAAACAAATAAATAAATAAATAAAATTTTAAAACTGGCTGTACACATATCTTGTTTTAAATAGTGAGCACTGCTACAAAAACTGCTTATAGAATTTCTACACAGTAACATCAGGTGATGCCACGGCAACAATGGAACACTAAATAAAGAAAACCACGTCAGGTGGTTTTGAAATTCATACTACAGTATAGAATGTTATAATGCAAGTCGCAGGAGTCGAATATGAACGCACTATAAGCGGTACGGCACTATAACCAAGACAACCTTTTTCAAGGGCCACTTTTGCGGAAAATGTGTTGAGCGTGCAGCCTTGCGTGTCCGAGAATCGAAGCATGTGATGTGTGGTGCTTACAAGTAGTTAAATTTTCGAATGTTATAAAAATTTAACCCCCAAAGACCCGCACTGCCAAGGAAATGAACATGAAATGGGGAGACAGTGTATATAAAAAGAAAACACCCTTGCTAAAATTCGCCAACTACTTCTCAGACAGCCTTTATTATGCACATGACACAGAATCTATGTGGAATCCCATTCGCAATTTCACGCCCTGAGAGACACCAATTGTTCAATTTCATGGGCATGCACCCCAATTTCAAGATGTCGCAATCAAACCTCGAACCACCATTCGAGTGCTAAACATGTCACTCTTGTTTTCATTAACCATGTGTATCCCTTTCAATCAAGTGCAGCCACCGCAAAGGGTTTCGTTGATTCAGTACCAGTCTTCAACTTTAGATAGCTTGAAAATGCTATCGAAGTATAACCTACGCTATCATGCCTGCCATTTGGGACGTTGTCGTGGGAAGTATGGCCAAGACAGAAAATAATCGCACTGAACCAAGAACAGCGTGCGTGATACGAAGTTTGCGTTTGTCGCCGAGAAATCAACTATGAGGAAAACCCGCCACGCTTATGTAAGACAGGCAGCAAAGGAAAAAGCCCACGTCACAAAGCCATGGACGAGGTGCGATATCTGTCGCAAGCTCGATGACGCTTTTCCCCGGCAGTAAACTTGGCAGTGCACGTGCCATGTTGAGCCGCGCGCGGCCATTACTTATAATGTTCTCAAGGAGGAAATTACAACACAGCCTTTTGTTTTTCTTCTGGCAGGCCTTGATGCCTTAGTTACAATAATGAAACACGAAACCATATCCTGTTTAAATTTTGCATGCATTCTACTTACAGTCCAAAAAGCTATTCTCATATAGCAGAATAGTTTTGATTGATTGATATGTGGGGTTTAACGTCCCAAAACCACCATATAGCAAAATAGTTTGTATAACTCTTTAGTACAGTAAATAACAATGCAGTCCTTTTGTCACATGTGCATAAATATGCAAAAAAGAATGTTTTCATGACACCATTTCTGTTCCACTGTTTAATCGGGTCTGTTTAGATGTTTTTCTTACCTTAGCTTGAGGAGCTGAGGAAACTGGCAAGGTGACATCGAACTTTTGAAAGGAATTGAGCAGGAATTCTGTTCCAAAAGCAAAACACTCATGAGTATATGTGAAAAAAAAAAAAACAGAAATGTTCTTTTTAAAGAACTTGGAAGCCATTCTGCTAAGTTCTTTTAAAAAGTTACATTAAATTTATTACTGACAACATCTCCTACACTTTTCTCGGCATTACTGTATATTAGTTCCCATTATTATTTTGTCTAACAAAGAAAAATGAGCCCTTAAATTTGCACTTCATTCGTTCATTCATAGCAAGGGTTTCATTCTGGCTTGGTGCCATCAGGTAGTATACGAGAATTAATCAGCTGACAGCTCGTAATAAGATCACATGCTAGATGATGCAAATGGGCCTTGCTGTCATGGCTACTGGCAGTGCTGACTGACGCTTCCAGGCTTAAATGCACATATATACCCCATGGAGTGGATGAGGGTATGGCCACTGTGGTAGCTCAATTGGTAGAGCAATGGATGCCTTATTTGAAGGTCGCACATTTGGTTCCTGCCCACGGCAAGTTATCTTTTCATCCACTTTCCCTTGTGGGGGTGCTGTCACATATTGTAGGGCCATTTGCAACTTATCGCGTGTGTGTGTCCGGCGAATAATCTGCATTTAGATTTAATAGTGTGGTGTCGTTCTCTCTATTATATGTGTTGCCATCGTACACCACAGCGGGTTCAAGCACTCAGAGCTCCAAGCAGGGGTGTCGTGTCCTCATTCGTCCGTCTCGTCGCAACGTGTATATATACCCGTTCGTACAACTGCGCATGCGAGTTCAGACCATCTCTACAAAGGGACGGGCAGCCTGCGCACGTGCAGCGAGGGAGAACCCAGGTGACGCTTTCCAAATAGCCAGTTTATTACCGGGAATTCAGTGCAATAAAACATCAATCATTCGATATAACCCAATCATACGTGACATAAATATACAGGCACGCCAATTATATAATACAAGTTACCCGATACATCGAATAGTCACCGCAAATGGCGTACTTATATAGAACAATCAAACAGACAAATAGACAAAGAACCAATTTCGAAGTGCAGACCTACCCTTTGGCTAGCGCTCCCGCGATCGCGCACCCCAGAGCATGCAGAATAATCAGAATAGACATACATAGCAACAGTTGAGAAGACCATACGGTGCACGATCCCAAGGCGCTGCCTCGGGACTTCGAGACAGCGGAAAAGAGCGTGCGCCCGCAGGGACTGGGGCCCCGATGAAACGACATAACCACTGGCCGGCAGCGACGAAGAACAAAGGACAAAAGATCACCGCCGGCCAGAGAGGCCAAAACGCATATGCACCCTCCGAAGTCCCGAAGTGGTCTCCCGAACCCCGTCTCGTGCCCATGCTTGTCGAGCGAGCACGAGAAAGGTCCGAATCCCACTAAATTGGGCCAATGGGACTCCTTGTTAAGCTTTAAGGGGCGGGAATGGTAGCGAAGTGACGTTGATTTATGATCAGCCGCCATCCGTCCCGTTTGGAAGAGAAGCGACGCGAGAATTATACAAGGAAAAATGGCTTCGAGCAATGGTGCGGAGGCTTGAATTCCCACAATAGTTACCCAGCTGGAGGTGGCGCTGTGCTTGCACGTGACCATCATCCATCATTATCATCATGGTTAGCCCGTTAGTGCCAGCAGCATTGCCCGGCAGTGAGGTTAGGTGGTCGCACAGAAAACATTAAAGAGTCCCTATAGCGTTTGGCAGCTGTTGTGAATGGACATATCCTGCAGTGGGTCTACGGGGACGGCATCGTAGGTCGTCTCCCATGAATCCCTGAAAGTGAATTGACTGCCTGCGGTATTTTTTAAAAGGTTGTTTGTGTGTTGTATTGAAATATTGTGTAAAGTTGTTTAGTGTGTCACTAGTGACATATTTGATGCGGTTGGCAATATTGTTGTTGTAAAAGCAAGTGAATAAACAAACATGTGTTTTGGTTGGCCTGACCATGTGACTGTGTCCATTCATTTTAACAATGGCACTCTCACTGGGACCCCACACCTTTCTACAAATTTACATTACATTTACTATTACAGTTAAACCTCCATATAACAAATTCTTGATATAACGACGTTTTTCTATTCCCTGTCTTTGCTCCATAGAAGCACATGTATTTGTGACCTCTATGAAACAAAGTAACAGCCGCAGACAACCTTCATATAACGAATTTTCTCGATGGACAATCTAGAAATTTTGCTCCGCATTTTGTTACGAGCATGCATCTTCGGCGGCTGCCCCGCCAGCGGTGAAGCGCGCACGGCTACAGTGGCTAGAATAGGGAAGTGTGATGAGCGGGAAGCGGCACCTACGAAGCGCACTGAAGCCTGTACGGTATCGAAGGTGGCGAAAGCGCCACACTCTTGGAGTGAACGAACACAGCAGACGCGGTCGGTACAAACCAAACTATACACGCATTTATTTAACTAATTTAGAATGAGGATATCATCAGCTGCATAATTATACATCAATCGAGATCAACACGCTAAGACATCCTTAGACAATATTAAACAACACGACAAAACATGACCAACACAATAACACACCCAAGGCGACGTCACCAACGCTTGACTTACCACGAGGGCCCCCAACACGCAGCCCGCGGCGCCACGCACCGGGGACCCACACTTGAGACAACCGTTTGCGGCAACTGCCACGTGCAGAAGAAACCAGCTTATTTCTCGCTCGCCGCCGGCGCTATACCACGATGATGATGATAGTGGTGATCACTGCTCGCAAACACAACGCCACCTACCGCCCAGTAGCTGTAACCCGAAATGCGGCTTTTGGGCGAGACACGTGCGCCACGCAGCCCAAACAACTGTACAGGGGTGTTAGCACCCCCACAAACTTTTGAGGAGGAGACGCGTGGGGGCGCGCGCAGTCGTTTATACGTTGTTCGCACATTTCCGACAGTTTCCTCGAACGCGTTTGTCCTCATTTTTTTTTTTTTTTTGATTGCGGCGGCAGCACTCTGACACCAATTTTTCTCTATGCACTCTCATGGCGCGAGAACAAAGTGATTGCTTGGTCCCGAGGTGCAGTCCCGGTACAAGTCAGCTAAAAAAAAAAAAAGCATGCATTCTTGGGCGTTCCAAAGGATGAAGCTCTGTTTGCGCAGTGGCGGAGAGCGATACCACACGCTGACAAGCTGCTTAGAGAAAACTCTGCAGTGTGCGAGTTCCACTTCAACGAGAGATACACTTCCCAGCACTTCAACTGCACCTGCCAGCCAGCTGTACTAAAAGACTGGTCCCCGGTCAAAATGTTGAATACTTTATTTGCGCGTGCGCCTGCACTGCATACTACTTACATATAAGCAAAAGAGCAGCACACTGTGTACGGCGAAATTGTCGGCATTGAAAGGGGTAGGCCCATAGGCGTGCTTGCTGTTGGAGGAGGGGGGGGCAAAGGTTCATTGCAGGGTGCCCCCGCCCTATAAAATTGGTGTATGAGGCAGATTTTGGGTCTCCCTTTTAGGTTTCTAAAAGAGTACCCTGCCGCCTCGTCAATGTATAGAGCAGATTTATCACCCCCTTCCCAGGTGACTAGGGGGGACGCCCGCCCCCTTTGCCCCCTTCGTGCGGATGCCTATGTGTAGGCCTTTCGGAGAAGCTTTTTGCATTTGTAGGCGCCCTTGAATTCACTTTTTCAAAGTGGTTTAGAGCGAACTTCATAGTGAGGGCTTGGAAAAGCTTGTTTCTTGCATGAAAAAAAAAAAAAGTCACACTGGGCTACTTACAACATGGTCCGAGCCTCACCAATCAAGTGAAGTTTTTTCTTCTCACCCATTTGCTCAACCACAAAGATGCTCACTCCACAAAGAGTGAGCATCTTCCCGTGAAAAGAGGAAGTACATAAAGCTCAGGCGCGTCACTTAAGTTTGCAGCCCAATGTTATGTGGGGCGCTTGTGAACTATAGAACTTTTTATTTGGGAATAAAAAAGAGGCACTACCAATTATTAAGAATGCGTTGTTGTAAACAGATAGTGAGGCCCTACTTGGAAATGCGTTGCATGACCAGCATGCAGAAAATAAAAGGTTTTCATCTAGATACCACTCGTGAATATCGTCTCTGAGTTTGACGTTACGAATGATGGGGCTTTATTTACAGATTACTGCTTGATGAAACGATGATTCGCCATGGAAGGTGTTGCAAGCAATGGCTCACAACTGAGTTCAACGTTCTATTACTCTACCACTTCACATCGATAAAATGTTTCAGTGCCATCACGTGTTCAATTTCGGCACCCTGTCGAGATTTCAGTTCAGTCGCGCACCCGCATAGGCATCCTGTAATTTTAGAAGCTATCACCTTTGCGCCACGGCCCGTACAAACAGCTGGTATTCGAGATTGCAGAAAAGACTCACCAATTCATGGAGAAAGAACGTGAAATAGCCTTTCAATGGCTTCAAAGTCATTGTGAAATAATTGGCCATTAAAGGGCCGATCGAGCTGCTCGTTCTACCCATACTGAAAGCGGTGAAATATCAATTCCTCTCTCCAGAACTGACGCTGCACGGAAACTCCGCAAGCTTGCTTGCAAGCGCACCACGTAGCGATGGAACGAGTCACATTTCGTCCGTGCACGGCTATGTACCTTAGACCCTTTTCAGTCTTTAAATTCCTCCAGAATTACGCCAATGAGATGCTACTATGCTGTCCAGATTATGGTTGGGCATCGCATTTACCAATGCGCACGCATTCTGCATAGGAATGGCTCACACTACTGCATGCGACCATTGCGGCAGTGACGAAACAACTTGGCACATTCTGTGTGAATGCCCACAATACTGCTCGCAGAGACAGTCACTCTGCAATGCACTAGATGAACTGGACAACCAGACTCTTTCGGAAGAAAGAATCCTGCGCTACCGACAGGGCTTTACGTCGCAGAAGAAAGCTGTGAAGGCGCTCCTGTGCTTCTTGCGTTCAACCGGCCTGTCCAAACGACTGTGATCGGAACTCCCTGAATGTGTGCGCATTTGAATTTTTTCTGTTAATTAGCTCTAGAAGCTAATTAACATATTTTCTCGGTCGCTATTTGAGGCCATGCACGAGCGACAAAATATATTTAAATGTTTCACATTGCCTGCGCGTGTGGTTGATTCCCGTCTTTGCACAATGCATCGCCGTCTTGGGTGACGTGCAAACGTGTGCCAGTATCACCTGGCGGTTTCCTCCCAAGGTGTTACGCGCTAACTTGCGCGTTCATCCAACTTTCCTATTCTAGCCACTGTAGCACGGTGCACCAGGTAGAGCAAGCGCTCGTTATTGCGTGAGCACGTGGCGGGCGGGCAGGCTTGCATTTCTTGAGCTGGCGTTGCTGCCGTTCTCGCCACCCTGGGCACATGCGCAAATGCGCCCCCCCCCCCCCCACTCCAAACCAAAATGAAAAAAAAAAGAGAAAGAAAACTACTTTCGCACGCTGGCAGTGCTATGCCTTAGTTAGCGTCACATATGTGGGACCGCGCTGCATATGGAAGGAACTTTACTGAATAGTTTTCCGCAGTATCCGTGTTCGTGTCGTTCGCTGTTCATTTTCAACACCGTGCACGCGTGCATAGTTCACTGCGCGTGCATGGTGTGGCCACTGGTGACGTTCAGCTTTATTTTTTTTTATTGCCATAGCATTTATGCGGAGAGTCCCATCTGGTTTATCGCCGTCGCCGCCGTCATTCACCGTATATGAACATATCCAATATGAAAACTCAAGAAAAAAAAAGCCACCCGCGCTCGGCACGCAGTTTGTCACGATGCGCCGATGCGCGCTTATCTTCCACGCGTACTTTGCCCCGCAAATAGAGGGAGGGGAGGTTAGATGGCAGTGTGCGCGCGCTTATCCTTCGGCGGGGAAAATAACGCCTTCGACTTTGACCGGAACAAATGCGTTTAGCTGCCGGGCGCACAAAGATTACTTCGCTCGCTGGACATGCGCCGTTTGCGAAAAGAGTGCGCTTTTCAAAAACTGCGAACTAACAAGTACCTCAGTACGTTCTCATATCTGAACCTGTGATTACCCTTCAAGCCTCGTTTTTGTTTGAACAGCCCGTTAAGTGTCAAGCGGTAAACGTTAATTTGCTCTTGTCCTGTGAATTGTTTTTGTGCATGAGCAGCGTATTGCACGTTTCGATCTGCTTGCCATTCTTAGCGTTACATTCAAACTTGTTGCTATTGCAGTCATTAATTGCGTCCCCCTTGCGACAAAACTGTGACTTTTCTTAATTTCGGACAACCGTGTCGTCATTATCGAGGGGATGTCCTATTTGGCGTTGATGGAAATTCTCTGAGACCACGGTGACGATGGCTCTTCATAGGTCGACTCGTCACGCGCTTCCGTCTTGCGCTGCGAGTTTGCAGGCTGGTAGCTTTCACGACTAGCTGATTAGTTCTGGCAACACGATGGCGCGATGAATGCAATGCAATGAACACGATAGCAAGAAATTGTAATAGTATATGAAGTAAGGCTGCAGCCAATTCTTTAAAATCGGATATCGCGGAACTCCCACAAAATGCTGGTGAGAGCGAATAGGGCCTCTCCAAGAAGAAGTGCTTTTTTCACACAGTCACTTCACGCTGAAACCGCACTGATACTTGCCGAGATAGCAAGTGTGCCAGCGACCACGACCACCCTTAAAATCCAAGTTCATTACTGCTACTCGATCAATTCCCTCGTCGTCTCCGTGTTGTTTCATGCTCATTCAAGACCGGTGGTTTACTCTCTGTTTGAGCATTTGACGGCAGTTCTAACATGTGAGAGATGTTATCTTACCACTGTCTAGGTGAGAGGAATAAGCCGACTGATTTGATCTCTGCTTCAGCAGCACTCGCGCGCTTTTACCTGCTGGTGAAAGTTACGATGCACTGGGGCATCGTATCAACTTGGACCTGTTACGGAACGTGGTGCCGAAATAAAAACCCGCCAAGTGTACCCATGTTATTATTGTTATGCTATTATTGCTATTGCAATACCACAATAATAATGCAGCCTTATACTGTAAAATAAGTGTTTTCGGTTAGCTCTCCTTCAGAAACCCTCTTGTTTAATTTTCGTGTTTATTTAATTTGTGCCTTTATAACCTGCATAAACAAAACCCTCTTTATAACAAATTTTTCCAAGACTTCATCAATTTCGTTATATCCAGGTTTAACTGTACCGTCAAACCTTGATATAACGAGCCCAAATATAGCAAAATATGGGTTATAATGAAGTAAATAAAAAATGGTCTTGCAATAGATATAGTGTTAGAAATAGACCTTTATAATGAATTTTCAGATATAACAAACTTATTTTTGTGTAGTATGCAACTTTGTTATGATGAGGTATAAGTGTAATAACACACTTTCTTTGGCATTATTATCTGTTAGTTCTCATTAATGTTCATATTTGCAAACAGTTCTTCATTGGTCGAAATGGTTAAATTACTGAAAGGAATTTCTTTTCTTGATCATCAAAATTGACATATTGAAATGTCTTGTGGGCAATGATGTATTCTGCAGTGGTACAGAGTTGTTTACACTTGCAATGAACATGATAAAGTGCAGCTGCACTCCCCAGAGCACCAGAGAGTTCATTGCCACACTACTTCAATGCACGGCCGCGTCTAATGCAGTGGTGCCCAGCAGAGTGCAGCCATGTTGAGTCACATTCGTTCTGAATATGGACAACCCCATTTGTGCGATGTCTGTGACGTAACAAACTGGATGTCCCAACTCAAACTAGCATGAATCGTTGGGCTAGCTGAGGTGGCATTCATAATGTCAAGAGCAAATGCTAGTCCATGAAAAACTACAAACAAAAATGACAAGGGATAACCAGCCAAGTAGGAAATGCTGTCACCATATGATGTCATACTCTCTGCCCCTCCTCCCCCCCCAAAAAGAAGGAAGTGTAAATTCATGGGCTCGTTCTTCTTTGTTAGACACAATATCAGTTATTATTATCACGCTTAAAAAAATATACACAAGTGCTAAACATGAACAAATGAAGTGTATTTGTCCCGCCATGTTGTTACTAGCTGGTGTGAAAAATAACAAGCCGACAGAAAAAATGCAGAGGACACCTCACCAGTGTTGCAGAAGGCTCTCCAAAACCTGATGAGGTTAGCAGTGGGGGCAATGTCCTGAAAACATGAAAACGGGTTGCAGCCGCTGCAGCATGAACACCTCAAAATAGTAGCTTTGCTTTAACTGTGTTGATAGAGGGATACCTGAAAAAAATCTGATGACTGCATACTAAGCCGTTCAGCTAGCAAAGTGAGTCCTAAGGATCGTTGGCATACTAATTCAAAATTCCTGCGTCAAGTGTGCGAGGATGCTGACACCCCCTGTAAAGTTGTTTTTGTCGCATGGTGCTTGTGTCTCGCACAGAAGCGCACTTGTGGCTTTGTTTATCGCTGTGTTTTGATTTTGTTTCGAATAAATGAACATACTGTGTGAACTTCGTGAACCGATTTGAATTGGTGAGCCTAAAAGGTTAAGGTGGTGAAGTGTAACTGCTATACCTTTGCTGAACTTTGTCGAGCAGCAAAGTGGGTTCAGGCGACATGGAGCCAAACGAAGCTAAAAGAGCCAAGATTGGACAAAATTTGTGAGCTACCCATCATTCCCATGTTTGCTGATGCGCCATGCGTTGCAGCTCCTATAGACACCAGAGTTGCCTCTAATGTATTTATAGGAAATTCTATGCCGACGTGAGCTGTACAACAACGCTTATCTTAAAATTTCCTTTTTCAGATGCCATGATGCGCCCTAGCTGTGATGTGTGTTTCAAATCTATTGATTCCTCACTTCCTCAAATCGATTCCTCACTTCCTTAAATCAATCTATTGATTCCTCAAAGCAGCGACACTGTGTAAGGCAGCTGCAAACAGAGTCGCTTCATTTTGTTGGTGCAATTAGTGTACGGCTCTCACAATCCAATAGACACCAGAATCCACGCGTCTATTGCTGCAACTTCATCCCTCAAGATACAGCTTTACACTTGTTGATGATCATTCTCAAATACTTTTTGTATGTCTGCACACATCCTGCTGTCTGCAGACTGTCAGCGTACAGTAGACTAAAAATGGGAATGAGAATGACAGTGTTCTTAACCATTCCATGATGTGCTTTGTCCTTGTCAAGTGCACTGTGCATTTGGCAAGTCAAAGAAGGCAGTGCTGAGAAGAAAAGCATTAACACATAATTGCTCATAGCCACATTGATACAAGGTGTCTTGCATAATTTTTGGTGCAAATGATCTTGGCGAAGTTGTAGCACAAACAGTGACAAAATTCAAGAGACCGTTTTAAGGTCTCTTTAAAGGGACCCTGCCACATTTATTTTAAGTTATGATGTACGAAAGTCACTATTAGCGCATGAGGGTTCACAAATCACATGCCGCAAATATGTTTATAATTCCTCAGGTATAAGCAGAGTTGAAGTGCTTTTTCTCTCCTTTCATGCCAGCGAGTGCATTGAAGGCTGTGCAGGGAGGGGGACGAACAGAAGATGCGTCCTTTGGTTAGTGCATGTCCTGACCCTGAGCATTTTCCTTCCAACACGCAGCTGACTTTCAGTGTGATCATGCACGCACGCGGGCATGAGGCAGGCTAACTATGCAGTTCAAGGTGCTTAAATCAGCCAATGACCACAGATTTTCGATATATGACACAGTAATTTGGGTAAATGGCATCATTTATAGAGACAACAAGAACCAATTAACAGCTGGCTTTAATTGTAAATTACAGGCCATGTGTCGTGCTATAACGTTCGGCTCTCATGTTTTTCCTCAAATTCCTGTCGGCAGCATTTTCTGACCATGCTCAAAAAGCGCTGCAGGGCTCCTTAAACACAATGCCACAAAGATATCAATGGCTCGCCATGTAGTTTGGAGCGTTTAGGTTCGAACAGCAGCACCATCCCATATGGAATATATATACTAATACAAAGATTCTGCTGTTGCAGCCAAGCACAATACTTATAATTTTTAGCATTTTCACATTTACAGCACGCCTAAATACGCAAGTCTACAATAAATGTAGCTTCTGAAATGCAATATCAGCTGATCTTTTTTTCCAGGATGAAAAAAATGCTACCTGTAACAATAATCTTTATTTAATTTTGATATTTCAAGTAAGCACTCCTTATACTGCCAGTCATCGCAGCTTCCTCATTCTTAGCACATTACTACAGCAAGGATTTTGACTCTGGCAGATTTGATTCCTTCCCATAGAATACGAGGTCAGCACCCCCACCCCCCAACGCTCGTAGGGTTATCCCAGTTATGCAACCAAGAAAATCATTACGAAACTGCAAATGGGAATGCACCACACGCAATGTGTCTTCTTTTTTTTCTCCAACTTCTCTTCCCACAGCCAGTACACTCGAACAAAATTTAGGAACAACACACTCCATGCTTTTCTTAGCTTCATAATTATGGGTGTGTATAAACGAAAACTCAACTGCCTGCACTTTTTTGTATCATAGAAGTGAACTAAAGACATTCCTGCACAGCCAGGAGCTCTGCAACAAGGCTTGTTAATAATGTCAGCTTTCGGTACATGGCTTAAGGCCATACAGTAAGCTTGAAAAAAGAGGTTACTTCCAATGCTTCACAATGCAACTGCTGCAATGTCAGACATGCTCTTTGGGCAAACTGTAACACACAAACAACAGAGGAATAACCACACAGCACGAGCACTCTGTAATAGAAATACCTAGCAACAGGATAGAAAGGTGGGCTGGTTAGTAGTTCATATTCGTTCCGCAAACTACTACCAATCAGCCCACCTTTCTATCCTCTATTTCTAGTACAGAGCATTTATGTTGCGTGGTTCTTCTGTCTCCTGTGTGTGTTCTCACGCTCCCAGTTCACTAAAGGAATATGAACTGCCAACTAGCCCATTTTTCTATTCTTTTTCAATGTGAGATATGCAACATGAACAGTGCACAGGAAGTACAGAAAGGAAAACAATCACCTAGCAGCGGTGCTGAGCTTAGGTGGGTGGTTCTGAAACTCCATCAGAATACCTTGAATTATTCTTCCAAGGTCTGTGTGCATAGAAAACTGAAAAAAAAAGTACGTGCATATGAGCATATACGGCTTTCTTAGTGACAATGCTGCACTTATGATGGATTCAGGCAAAGAAAGGTGTTTTATTTTTTGTTTTTTAGACGTTAGTACTCGCCAATTTGCAATAAGAAGCACTTTGTAGTAGCACACATTTCTAGCAAAAGAATGCACACACAAGATTGCTGGAACCAAACTAAAAATATGAGCACAGTGAAATGACTGCTCACCTATTTTTTTTTTTCATTTCTAATTCTTTATTAATGCTCAAAAGAATTTTTCAGTTAGTGCTTTGTGAGGAATATAAGTCTCGCTTTATTTTATTTTTTGCAAGGTACTTGTGAAAATTATACCACAATAAGAAATGTTATTTAGCATAACACTTGCAATGATGAGGGTGCAACTTGCATAATGCAGTGAGATAGAGCCAGCCAAAGAGACAATTTGCTACAATCAGGGCCTCCTCTATTTTTTTTTTTCACTGGCCGGGCGAACGCTTTTTTCAGGTCGTTGAGCGTGCGCTCCGTATCTGCTCGTCGTTGAGCGTGCGCTTTGTATCTGCTCGCCGTTGCAGCATGATGGCGCTACGCGAGTAGACTACAGGATGCTGGCGCTGAATGGCCGCGCATATTAGGAAGCTCGCGAATTCGTGTTTCATGTGGGTTAATTTGCAGTCGTATTTCTTGACCGCTTTTATGGATGCAGGGCGGATGAAAAGTACCACGAGCATACGCTGTTTTCACCTTGCTTCCTCAGGCCGTGCTAGCGGTTCGATATTTGCGTTCAAGTTTGATAGCATTCGCATTTTATTTTCTTTTTCAAGCTATTGCAACCTCATTATTTTCATGCCTCAGTGTATATTACTGCTGTGAACCACTCTGCATATCTGACTAAAAAAAAATCAGATTGTCAAAAAAAAAAAAAAGCTCCCCGGTCCCCTTATGGATTCACCTGAGATGACTGAAAAGCAAAAACTATCCTCGCTTTTTTTCGATTCAATGCACTGAATATTTCTCACTTCCCTCTGGCATATTTCTGTGCCCAACATAGTTTATTACTGCCTCAAGGATTGGAGACAAAGCTAGCTTTCTGCCCCTCAGCTGGTTATGCACTGCCCTCATGATTGGCCCATTTCAACTAAGTGAAGACGTTAAATGATGCCATCAAGTTATGTGACCTTCCGATACGTTACAAACATTCATGATATGCAACGTCATATGATGACATCTTCACCTAATGATAATTTCTTGCATCACTCGTGTTCATGCCGCCGACGCGAGAAGATGCCGGAAGCCGCTGGCAATCAATATTCGCTTTTGATGAGGCAATTAAACCTATTGCCTAAATGCACTGAACAGCTGTAGCTCCGCGAATTTGCAGCTTCCGCTGGTGTTCGGGGAGAGCTTGCTTGCAGTAATCAGGCAAAACAATTGGTCCCCTAATAAAATTTCGTACTACACCTTAATATGTAGCCGTCATTTACAACCCGACTATTTTATGGATTATAAGTAGCAGTGGCTGAAGACTACCCATCACGTTTGGTAACAACGCAATTGGTATCACTAAACGGGAGTACACTGCATCTGAACAGTCAACAAATAAGTCTATAAGTAGCAACTCCGCCTTGCCATCACTGCTGTTTGCAACATTAGCAGTATGCCTTGAAGCTGAATAGGAGCCCATGGGCACCACACAGGCATTTGTCTCTATTCTGCTCGCTACCGAATTAAGAGACCAGAGGGAAGAAGAAAGAAACAGAGCTGAGCAGCCGGATATTAAGGCTACAACAATCCGTCCACGAATACACAGACAAGCTCAAGCAACTGACCACAGGCCGCATTTTTCAGGCCTGTCACTTCGGCTCAAGTTGAGAGTCTGCATTAGACTTCAGACTTTAACAGCGCCTGTTTAAAACATAGGCAATGATGTCAAAAATCGCGCGGTATATGGAGCTGTTCTTGTTTATTTCACAATGACTTTATTGTTTAAGCTCTCAAATGGTGAAATCACCTGCCATAGTTCATTTTCTGACACTTGCTTTTTCTCGGTGGCAACACATATAATGCTTTGCGAAGAAAACGGATGATGACCTATATCCCTGGAAAAAGTCAAGTGACATTTTGTGCTATTTAGAGTATGACCTGCAGGCTTGAGCATAATTTTATACGCCATGAGAGTAGCAAGCATCGGGGAACATTAGGCATCCAAGCTTTTAATATTAGCTCCCAGCAAAGGCTTTTCTCAGAAATCGACTTTCAGATAGTCAAAAAATCAACTCTCAGTAAAGCGAACGCCATGGTGACAAAATGATCTTCCGCGGATTACTGGCATCAACTATCTGGTATCGGCCTAGCAGACGATGCGCGTGCACCTCGATGTAGTCGTGAACGACCCATGCCTTTGAAATAAGCTAGGTGTCCAGAACAACAAGTGCTTCAAAATTCTGAATTTCATGTTTCCATTACTTCTTAAACAATGTGAATACAGCCGGAAACCGAGCTGTATAGCAGCTTTGAATTCAGCCACGACATTCGTTTGCGCGAGAGACGACCGCGGCGGCATCTCTACTCCAGTTGCGGCGCTTGGCGGGGAAACGCCGCACTAGCACCAATGGCCGCTTCCCGTTGAAATCCGGTCCTGCACCCGGGCACTGAAAAAATAGAGGAGGCGCTGGCTACAATCCATTTGCTATTTCAGACTGTCATTACATTGAAGGCTGCATAAAATGTTCACCACTTATCCTCATGCGTACACACATGCACGCATGTTTAGAGCACAATTTTGTTGTGAATTTGTCAATACAGAAGCTGTTTCAGAAACTGACCAGAGCAGCATTTAATTATTATTATCTAAGTATACACATTGTGTGGCCTCGATATGAAAATGGATTGATTGATTCATTGATTGATAGGTGCAGTTTAACGTCCCAAAACTGCCATATGATTATGAGAGACGCTGTAGTGGAGGGCTTCGGAAATTTTGACCACCTGGGGGTCTAAGTTAACCTGCACCCAAATCTCAGTATTCGGGCCTACAACGATTCCACCTCCATTGGAAATGCAGCAACTGCAGCCGGGATTTGATCCCGTGACCTGCGGGTCAGCAGCCAAGTACCTTAGCCACTAGAGCCAATGTTCCACTGTGCAACTAATGGACTCATTGCATCATTGCAGTTACTGAAGTAAAAGTGGGATGGATGTGTTATGGAGGTTATGTCAAGAGTAGACTTGTGCGAATATTCGAACAAATAGTAGGATATTTAAATTAGATTTTATTTGAATTCAAATTATTGAAAATTTCAAAGTATTCGCGAGGAACAAAAAAATGCATATTAATCCAAATGTACCGCCTGGAAAGGAGGCACTGCAAAGATGCTAAACTGTGAAAGCATTTATTCAGGGGAAATCCGCTCTGCCGCAAAGCTCGCCTTCAAATTTAATATGGCCCTGCAACACTTTTTGAGCATTGTCAGAAAACGTTGCCAATCGGTAGCGGAGGCTCCCGACAACACAATAGCCAACTACTATAGCGCAGCACGCAGCCTGCAATTCACAATAAATTCTCGAATTGAGCTAAAGATTTCTCTCAGCAAATGATTCTGCAAGCTGAAAACGCACGCAGGACGTATTTTTCTTTCCCCGTGCCATTCCTCCCAGCTTAGCTTCCAGCGTTTTTGTCGGGACGAGAAGAATGCATTTGCAGTGTGCAACAAATTTGCAACTCCGCTCGTATAGAAGGAATTCTAAAATTTTTGTGGTGGTGAATTCACGAGGCAATAAGTTTCTTCAGTGAATCGATTTCATGGCTACTTGAAAAATGTAGCAGGGCCTCTATAAACTGAAATATTACACTAAAATCAATACATTTTATTAAGCTTAAAAGCTTGTTATGATGGCTTTTATGGTCTAAGTATAATAAGTTTTAAAATGTTATGTATTTTACGAGTTATGACTCGCATCCTGCCAAAAGTCAAATCCTGCAACTACTCGAAGTTGTTTAGACTTCCTTAGAGCGAAAAAAAATAAGGCATTTGCATAGAAGCCCTATCTCAATTTTTAAAAAATATTGTGAAGGTTAGTTATGTCATGATAAATATGCCCATTTTTTTTTATATGTCCTAAATGCTATTCGAATTTGATTAGAAATTATTCTACCAAAATCACTAGTCGCTTCGAATTCGCTTTGAACCTAAAATTCACTATTCGCACAAACCTAGTAAACAGGAATAGGTGGATCAGACAAGCTGGTCAACATTTTGATAAGTCAAATTGTCACTGTCAAAGGCATCTTGTTACCTTTGGCTTGTTAGCTTTTAAGTGGGTTAGTCGTTGATGCGATGTCTCGTGACCAGACTGTACACATTGGAGAAATGAAATAACTGATTACAAAATGCTATTCAAAAAACACGGGAACCTGACTTACGAGTGTAATAAGTATTCCTTCTGGTCCTTATTTCTTGCAGTATGCTACACCAACTCACCCACATCAAGCGTCTTCAAATTACAAGTACTTACTCCAAGTTTAACTGATAATAATGGTCAATATAGCCCCAGAAAAACAACTAAGCAATTGCAGAAACATAATTGATTACTCCTGCATTGTTTATTTCAGACTTTTATAGCCGTAATGTGTCAACACAAGAGCTCAACCTACAATGAACAAGTTACTGCCTGCATGGTAGAGGAAAGGCTGGAGCCTTGAGTGAAGACTAAGAGGCTTACTGTGGCTTCTGTGATAGTGTTACGTGTTGTTAGTTTTCTACAGGAGTTGCTTTTCAATATTATCGTCACCGATAATTCCTTATTTCCTTGTTAAGAGGTCAGTTGCTACACTGAACAATGCAAGCGGTTGTAGGGGGGTGGCTTTATAACGTAGGAACACCTTGCACACCAGCCCTGTGTGTCGATGCTACAGGAGGTATTCACATGACATTATCTGTAAGGGTCACTAGTGGTCGTCGGTGCGACAGTCGCCATACACGTGGTGTCGAGAGCAGA